CAGCAGGCAAGGAATCTCAACCGATGAACGACATCGGTACTGCAGTCGCTTCTGTTTTTGTGACGAACAGGGACGAGCGAAGCCGTAGGTGCTTCCTCTGTATCGGGAGGGCCACAACCCTCCAGCCTTCTGACCCGGCTATCGAACGTCTCATAAATCCCTTCTATTCCGCTGGTGATTTAAGCAAGCACTTCAAACGATGTCATCTCTCCAATCTTCAATCAAACGAAAAGCTCTATTGCCGCCTGTGTGATGAGACGTTAGATCATAAGATGCACTTGCAACACCATGCTGAGACAGTACACGGCACTATATCACATGGAGGATGATCTTTATGAACTTAGCATGGAACAATCTTTGGCAATCTATATGGCGAGGCCTTCTGTTATTTTGGGACTGCTGAACAGTCCGTAGCTGTAGACAATGGCCTCGAGATTCAGAAGATTCTCCGACAACGAGAGAACCTCCGCCAGGCCGTCAAGCGCCAGGCTATCTCTTAAGACTTGCGAGAATCGGCGAATGGAATTGAAGCGAGCTTAAGGAGAAGTATCGACAATGCTGGTCACGGCATCAAGGGGTAGTTGATATCGAGTGGCAACTGGCTGGACAGACCTTTGAAATAGCGACAGAATCGCCATCAGATGAGAGTGTCTACGATCGATTGAAAGGTAAAACCTCGTAATGGTAGGGCAAAGGATGTATTCATCCCGCCCAGTATCTACGGACAGCCGCCCAGAGGGCAACGAATACATGTATACGACACTGAAGGGTTCAGCAATCTTACACGGCAGGCTAATCCCACTTGAAGCTGGTAGACATCTTGTTCGATCCCAGGGATGGCCGCTGAGAGATGTTTCGCTAGATAGTATTATAATAATCTTAGGTTCTTCCCTACGCTCTTGACATGAACTTTCCACTAATTATAATTTCTAAAAAATATTTTCACGAAGTTGACACTAAGGGTTGAAGCATTGAATTGACCTGTTCACACTGTGACGGGAATTGCAGAGTGATGATTTCCTACACGCTATTCAAGAGGTCTATAAGCCAGCAATAGACGAGGATCGCCTTCTGCAGGATCGTAGTGGAGGTCGTTAATGCACATCCGGAACTTTTGGATCAGTCAAGATAGCAAGAGTCAATTAAAGATCTTGGTCTTTGTTTCGTGCAGTATATTAATACAGAAAATTAGCCTCGGGCAACTCATCAACTACATGGTTGTGGACGCCAAGAGGCGTCGTTGCCCCAGCTTGCTTCCCATTGCTTAAGTCCTGAATGTACTGGTGTGCTTGGTATGATATATACTCCTGAATCAAATGGCAATCGCAGCCGATGTGCTGCAACAGTTTCATGTTGAGGTCATAGACTTGCATACTGAGGTCGGAGACATGATTTGACAAGTCACGGTTTACGCGTTCCATGTCTTGTTGGTCTGCTCGAAGCCTCTTTGCGTCTTCACGCTTTTTGACGCGGAACTTATTGGAGGCTATGCGGTTCCTTTCCTTAACCGTTCTGCTGTGCTTATCGATGCTTTCGTCTGGGTCGAGAGACAGTGTTTTCGTAGCCTGGGAAGCTGGTTTCGCTCTGCCACCACGGATTTTAGGCTTTGTCGAGGTAGTGTCGGGCTTTGATGTTTTTCGAGTTGAGACACGTCTCAAAGCCTTTGAAGAATGTGGCCGACTTGCGTTGTGCTCGCGTTTGTCAGGCTGGGTTGGTGGAGAGCCACGGCTACTCTCCAACTTGCTGGTCGCAACGTCTATTCTAGTTGGATCGGTGGGCGGGGATGGAAGTGAACAATCGCGTTTCGAGGTTATAGGACGTGTCCACTGAGTCGAGGCATCTTCGTCGCAGGAACAGTCGGAACATAGCGGTTGCTGTTGTTCGTGGACGTTTGAAGCGGCGGTTGTAGATGATTCGGCAAAGGTTGCATACTTTACAAGCGACCACGGTTCCCAAAAACCTTCAGAGGGTGCGTTGTAGAGATGGATGTCTGAGGGATCATGGGCGATGGAGTTCGTGTCGCCGGGAGGGTACTGAGCCGATTGTTGGAAGAGAGAATACACAGCGCTCATCTCGGCTAGTGAAAAAAATCGCTTGATTGATTATCAATTTATGGCCGTGAAGTAATTGAAACAGTGATGAAGGCAGCTGCCAAAGACCGAGCTTGGACAGAGGGCATGGCTATAAACAAGAAATGGCGGAGGTGTCTTTGGTACAGGCACATAGTGCGGGGGGCAACAACAGGCGCAGGCAGTGGCGCGTACTGTAGGTGTAACGCAGTGGTCGAGCAATGTGGTTGAATGTGATGAATAGGCGAAGTTCACGCCATGCGGAAAAGCTATGGAAAAGCCAATGTCTGAGCACAGAAAGAGATTAAGCCGAAGCAGAGACGCAAGCAATAGAACTCGAGTTTGGGTTTTAGTGGGGCAAACTAACCCAAACGAGATACCAAAGTTGGAATGACAATTGGATATTTCGGTCCAGCGTGCTTGAAGTGGACTTTGATTTCGGATACTTGACTGCAGTACCCATTCCGAGGCACAAGACTTTGCCTGTCTCAACTGCCACCCTTGCTTTACCCACAAAACGCCGAGCCGTCGCACGGGCACAAGGCGAGCGCCAAAACGCCTGAGGGAGGATTTCCCAAATATGTGGCATGCTTTTATTGTGGCATCGGCCCTCTATCGCCGGACTGTATCTGTTGGACTGCGGATCTTTTGGCCTTTACGACAGCAGTGGGGACCCACCCATGTCTCGGATGACACTTGAACCGCGCCTCATTACTACTAAGAAACATGAATTGCATGGCTTGGCGTAAGACGCCTATCTCATTCTCTCCATAAAGAGGTCATGTTTCATGGAACAAGACGACAGGTCACTTATGTGTTGCGTACGAGACCATCCTACACGGTGCCCCAGGTTCAGGGCTTGGTGATGGCATTAGCAATTGGAAGAAATTGTGGGGTTGGACCGCGGCCGACGGCTTTGAATGATGGGAACTTGAGACATCTGGTATGATAAACTGAGAAATGGCAAAGATGAACACCGAATTTCTGCGGAACAAATCAGAACAAGACGTGGACTTGGTCTAATTAATCCCCAGACTTTTACAGTAGCATATCAATTTACCATTGAATTGCGGGATCATCCCTTTTGATCCATTCGTACTTAAAGCGTTAGCTTGAGCAGCCTGTCAGGAGCCTTGCTGTTAGTTAGGTTCATTCTTGCGATTTTTGTTTCTGTCTCTTCCTGTTCTGAGATACGGCCCTGACTTATATGCGCGCATTCTAATTCGGCTATACGTTTATCCTTTTATTTCCATCCCAGAGTGAGACACCATGTACAAAAAAACATACAACAGCGCGGCCTTGGCCCGCCAGCTCAAGAAGCAGGAAGCCGATCGCAAGTCCCAGAAGCAGGCGCGTGAGAGGACAAAAAGTCGCATCAAGCATCTTGAGAACATGGTTGAGATTTTACGACAAGACGAATCAGAGGCGCGAATAGTCTCGCTATTGCACCAGCTAGACCAGGTCACAAAGGAAAAGGACAATTTATTACAGGTGCTCGGTTCGCTCGACTCAACTATTCGTCGTCAACTTGGTAACCACACGGGGAGTAATCCTGCTTCAGACACAACGTCCGGGTTATCGACGCACGCATCAACAAGAGAGCCTCAACTCCCAGAATGGGGAAAAAGAACAGTCTCAGTCAATGGTACTAGGGAATTATCGGGAATATGTAGCCCTACAATGCTAGAAAGCTCAACGGGCTCTCAGCCAAGCAGTCTCTTTGCCTACGACAGCTGGACCTCCACCGTCAGCAACGAGCCATATCCCACAGCTATGGTCTTTGACAACCCGATCTGCCCACCCAACGTGGATCAGCTTTGGCAGTTTTCAATGTTGCCCGAAAACGAGAGTGGTATTTCCGTGGCCACACAGAGTTTCTGAACTTTGACACGCAACGAAGCGCTGATGTGACGTATCCAGGAAAGACAGCAGCCACCAAGAGTTTCACTGGAATTTCTGCGAAATTTATCTAGTAAGGTATTTCAGATTGGTAACAACTCTTTGTGACGCATAGATGATGGAACGCAAATTTTTATTAAGATCAATTATAACTTATTGCGTCATTTCTTTCTGGGCTCTAATAACTGGTTCCCTGTCAGTATTGGCCCATCTAGACGTTCCGCCGTAGCAGTCCCCTTCACTGAACTTTGGTTGTTCCTATGACGTACAACATACGCGGCTGTCGCGAGTACAGGTAACGGGAAGCTTTCAAGCTTTCATTCTGTCATCTTCTGTTAAGTCACAGCAAGCATACTGTGACAATAGGACTGACCCTTGCCATGTCAGACAGCGGTAATGCTTTGTCAGTAAACTTAAACTTATACTTTTTGCCTATACGGCGAATACAGACATATACTTCGGCGCCGTAGATATTGAGGCTATTATTCTTGAGTGTGCTCCATTTTTCCTTGAAGTTCTCATTACTCCAGTCTCTCTTTCTCACGCGCATGTACTCGATGATAGCCATTGTTATCGCGACGAGAGAGAAAGTTGTTATAAAAATCTGCCAGGGACAGGATACATGTAGCAACACTTCTCTAGTCCATTTCCAGTTACCGCAGGGGGGATAAATTTACTTTTGAGTTTGTGTATTTAGGAAGCGGTCCTTGGCTCCTCTGCGATGATGCCAGCCAGTCAGTGATCTACTTCTTGTTTTAGGGCACATGCACGCCCCGGCGGCTCTAGATGAGGAACCCACACGCTATAATTAACGAGCTATAACGGTAAAAACTGGGCCTAGCTCTCTATAACAACCCTAACTTGCCGCTGGACCAGTAGATGAACGCATTCCACCCAGCCCCTCATTGAGGTTTAGATGTGCTGAGGCTCTGGTATGAGCCCCCCATGCTTTGGTAGGTGTGCTCTAGCTGAAGCCTCCTAGCGCACCCAACTCCCAACACGAACGCGGTTGCGCGTAGACCTCGTTTAGCCTGAGTCCATGACCCATGCCTGTGTATTCGTATGAGGGCGTGTCTAGAGATGGCCCTGAAGGGTTCGATTGAAATATTGGTAAAATGGGGTAGCCGAGACTGATGGTATCGACCCAAGCAAGGGGTATGACCTGGGTTTGTTGCCAGCTCACATCCATGCAACCTGACTCTGCAACTCCAGGTAGATTGGAAGAAAGCTGGGAAAGGAATACTAGGAAACAATCAGAATCATAGGCCTAGATGTAATTTCTTTTCTTTTTGACTAACGTTCTATTTCGAGATCAGTATATGTTTGGTTCAGGGCAGCCGCAATGGCATCTGAATCGTATCGTGGCGTAGATAAGCTTAATGAATTGGTCAATTCAGGTGCGTTGAAGTTATCGGACCCCCTTTGGTCAATTATTGGGGCCGGCCGTTGGTCAGGGATAGCGACGTCAATTGCTTTGCCGCACACCAGGTTGCACTCCCTCTTCAGGCGGGAGCAGCTGGCGCATGGAGTCTGACGATCATCTCCAGGCCGAACGCACCTGATTTTGCGTTTTCGGCAGTGGCCTTAAGCTCCCAGTTAGCGTATATACTGATAAGCATGCCTGGGAGACTTTCCACACGCTACACGAGCCCTGTCGTAACTAAGTTTACTTTTCTTACTCTTGTCAACCTTGCTTCTGTATAGTAGCTGGCAATTCATCGAAAGCGACGCTAGTAAAGAACAATCTGACTTAGAAAATGATTCTAGGAAACAGAAGTAAAAGGCTAAGGCAAGCGTAAAGAAAAAGAGGTTGTTAGATAGTAAAGAAAACCAGGAGGTCTGTTTATATGTACTCACTTGGTAGATTGTCTGACTTTTTAATTTGTGGCTTCTGGAAATTGTAAGTGTGGCTTGAAGGGATGTCACTCGAAGATAATAATTGACTGATTTCAGAAAAGTTTGGGCTTTGATTGGAGAAAGCCTGACGCAAGGGTGAAGTTGGACAGAGTCCCAAGTGGTGTGCTGCCTCAGGTATGAAGTCAAATTATGAAGTTTTCTGTTGGTACCAAGACAATGGCCAGAACTCGTTAACCCACGGCTTAATCTACCCGTATAACCGGACTGATTTACGCATCGCGGCAAATAAACATTTCCATTTACCCTCCCCATGATGCAAAGCCCCAAAAGCTCAATCTAGTTCTATCTTCCTGTTCGTTTAAAATGTCAATGTTGGCACTCTTGGGGATCTAGTGTCTGGTGGTTCTAAATGAGAAACCCCGCGCTAAAAGCAGGGAGCGCTAACGCTAGAAAGAGATGGACCTGAGGCTCCCTCGTTCAAGAAAACGTGCCTTGATCAGAGAATATTATTGTAGGACCCATACTTTGCGTGAGGAAAAGGAGGGAAAAAGGCTATCTGCCATTTCCGACTCGACATCTTCTGACTATGAAGTGCGGTGGGTAGGACTCTTATGCTCGATTTCGAGCTGAATGAAACGGCTCGCATTAAGTGGAGGAACCAGGTTATTAAAAGTCACTGGCATGGGAAAAGAATCGCTGGTAGCTGTATGGTTCCAGCCGTTGTAGTTGAAAGCAGCAGTGGAGGAATACATATGTCTCCTCGGTATCGATGTACCCGTACTGGATGCCTTTACCTATCATGTAAGAGAAGAGCTGGGTCACGACGTCAGTAGCAAGTCGCGTCGCTGCAAATTCATATCCCTCACCCTCCTGGTTGATCACATCACAATCCGGCTGGATCTCTAAGGCCAGCCCTATGACAATCTCGCCACGTCTCGACTTATGTGGCGCTTTATACTCGATCGCGATGACAGTGATATTTTGATCGTCAGAGGTCCGGTATATACAGAACTGGCCCCCTCGGTTGCCCTTCCCTCGTGTCTTTCGATATTGTCGAGTTATTCGGCTGGGCGGTCTGGAGCCAATCGACACTTGCTCCATCGATTCGGAAGGGGAGTCATCAGTAATACCGAGGTTCGTGTGGCTTTCAAAAGTCACCGTTCTATCGAGGTCGAGATAACTCCTCAGCGATGAATCGTTGTATGTCACGTCCATCAGCTTCTGGACAGCATGTTCCACGACGTCTCGCTCGCAATTTCGAGGTCCAATCTCGCTGCTGACTGGGCGAAGCAAGGATCTCACGTAATCCTGCTGGTGTCGGGATGGAAAGGCGGGTTGGGAAGAAAAGAAGTGACTGAAGGAAAGCTCGTTCCAGATATGTTCTTGTTCCGTCGCGAATGTGGTCCACAGAATAATTCGTCGAGGGTAAATTCGGCCGGTCGGCTTCGTCGTGTCCGCTTGTGTCGTCAAAGAACGGTCGGTTATTATTTCGACAGCGAGGCTGAGAGAATGACATGTTTCGAGATATTGTTGGAGTGTCAATGGTCGCGATGCGTCTGCGCGTTCTTCGGCTTCTTCGCGTCGGCGTTGCTCTTCTTCTTGTTAGTGTTGTTCCTCGAGGGCGCGCCCTTCGACAGCTTCACGTCGTCGTTGCTCCTCTTCGCGCAGGCGGTGCGCTTCCCGTAGCTACTCCTGCAGCCGCTCAAGTTCCCCCATGAGGCAGATACATTTGCGCCGAGACAGGGCGGGTGAGATGCTGGATAAGGGAAAAGCATCTGGACAACAGAACACCTGCCCCGAGAACCATGGGAATTATAAGCGGGTCAGTCCACACAACCACATTTGCGACCGAAATGCGGGGCTTGCCTAAGTTTGGTCAAATGACAATTCCACGACCCCACAAGAACCAAGCATCTTGAAAGCATGGTTAACTGACTAAATTGAATCTGCGCTTCGGAGGCGTTAAAATGCAGGTGAATTCGTAACCAAGTTGTTCTTTCGCATATGTCAACAAGATTCCCTCTCCCAAGCCTTAAGTCTCAGAATAGCATAGAAAGATAGAGCCCGCAGCTGTTTTTGGATGTTTTATCGCATGCTGTTATGTACTTCCTGTTTCTATACAGGGTAGCTCAAAAATCCACACTAAAATCTAGAGCGGGGACAGCGTATCGATAAGAATTAATCTTTACCTCGGCTCCGTAACACCCAAGCAACAGCCCCAAAAAAAAACTTCCGTAAATAAGACAATAGAATTTATTTCAAGTTTTATATGCATATATTCCACTCATATAAAGACAAGCAATTCACCTGGTGGCCTTCGCTGCTCCATGCTCGTATCCAAGTACTGCAATGTAAGTTTGGTTGCACATTTTGTAGAAGGGAATAAAAGAATCCGTCGAGGGGGAGAATGCAACCAACAGTTAGTTCTGCTTTAGACTAGAAGATTTCGCAGTGTTAGAACCAACAATTCTCAGTCCTCATTCCCGAAAAGGGAACTGGCCTCTAGAGCAACTCTTATTTAAATAAGGTCAGAAAGGCTTTTCTGCCGAACTAAATATATCCAGTCTGATACTCCTCCGAGATGCTCATTCCATAACGCAAGAACTGTTAGTTATTTGCACCAACGCGGTCAGGTGAGGAAACGTCTATTCGTTGCCAAGATACCCTTTCTAGGATAAGGATGGGAGTCTGGCACAAGCATAGCCTCTAGGAATAAGCGCGAGGCTATTTTAGACAATCACGATCATACGGCATAAACTCAAATGAATATCGAATTAATCTCATCATCATGGTTTTGAACGTAGACGCCACAACATCATTTATTTCCTCCCTCTCGAAAAGATTGAACTCAACAATGGTATCGTCATGGATTTTGAGGTTTGTTATTGAATTTTCAGGTAGCTTAGGCCTAATATTAATACTTTTTGCTCGCTGATTACTTAATGATTCTTTACGTGGCGTCAAAGTTGAAGATAAGACTAGCATCACCGTGAGCAAGCAAGAGCCACCGATGTTCTCCATCGGTATTGCCTTCCTTTACTAGCGACGGAACCTTCCAGCGCAGAGCTAGATGCTTATCCTCATAACGTACCAAAAGTCGATGATGCTACGACATGATTCCATTCCTACCTTATGATGGATCAAGGTCGTACATTGAATATCACTGTGAAGAATAAAAAGCGTCTAAGTCGTCAGTCTCTCTAGCTCGATCACAAAGAGCTCATTCTATCTGAAATTCTTGTTGATAACAAGCATCTTGTACACGATTGATAAACAAGATGTTAGACAAAGGTCGAAATATCAACATCGGATCCAGAAGCTCTCTACCTTTGCACATAGATATACAACAGTCGCGGGACGAGCCCCATTCCCAGCAATTAAAGGTGAGCTTGATATGCATGTTGACTATAGAAACAGTCGAGTAACGCTAGAGGTTCTAGGGTCTAGATACATCTCCGACGCAGGATTTGAGAGAACTCATTCGTCTTCAGACTATCGCTATCTCCGCGATCGAGAAATCTACGAGATTACTAGTAGAGTCTATTTCTCTTCTACAAAACCACACCCAGGAAGTTCAAGATAATCCAACCACCTCAACTCAACAGGAGACTATGCACGACGATGACGTCAACGCTGCAGATACTATTCAGCCCAGTACAGTAGCGAGTATAGGCTCTGCTGCACATGCATGTAATCTAGAGAACATCACTGTTGGTAAAGAAAGTCAACAGACGATAATCTTAGAGGGTGGGGGATCGATAAGGGCAAGGAATATTACGACGGGCGACGCGTCGGTGCAGCTCATCGGTAAGCTTTCCGATGTGATGTTGCAAAAATTTGTCCGGAGCTGGAATTGAAATTTGGAAGTAGGTAGCAGGGCAATAGATGAACTTACCTTATATTAGCTCGAATGAATGGACAAGGAAAGTAGATTTTGAAGAATAAGGCAGCAAAGGTGGTCTAAGATTTCGATATGACCCAGAGACACCTCTTGAATACTCATTGAAGCATAAGAGCATGACCCTTATTGCATAATCGAATACCCCTAGCATAGCCTTCCATGCACAAGCAGAACCCCCATCACAAACGCTATAAGAGTAGCGGCAACCTCCTTAGATATTCAGCGTATAGGCGTCGCACCAAGGAGCTTCGTGATCAAACGGAGTAGAAACAAGATCATTGGGAATATGGTCGTCCGAGATCCAAGTGCCAACTGTTCAGCATGCTCCACTAAGAGCTGGATCAGCTCAGTATTACCAGCGCGGAGCGCCCACCATATCAGACTCTGGCCGACGCCGCCCGATGCCGCCCTGCATCTCAACGGCTGCACCGCTAGTAACAAGAAGCTTGGCCACGTGCAGGTGAACATTCGCTACCGCAGCAAATAATGCTGTTGGACCCACCTAGTCCTTGACGTTCGGGTTGACGCGCCTATCGGAGAGGAGGACTCGCGCCGCTTGGTATCGCCCAAACCTAAAAGCGAAGAAGAGGGCTGTACGGCCAAGAGTCGTCCGGTTTGCTGGCGTCGATATGAGGAGCCCCTAACAATAGCGTGATCACCTCGGCGTTCGCCCTTGTCTCTTGCAGCCAGCTTCAACCTCCTCAGTCACTGCCTGCTGTTTACACTTTGAGGAACGGCAATGTTAAGCGTCTAGGGTATTCATCATACTATACAATATCTCGGCTCCTCCTCACTCAGACATAATGGGAGTGTGCCGACCCAAACACAGCCTCCAACATCGCAAGGTCGTTTCGACGACCTTGCTCTGATCGTTCTCGGTCGCCTGCCAGTCCCGTCACCTTCGTATCCTGCGACGCACCTGACCTCGATTTCCGCTTGTTTGGTACTAACGGCGCTAACGGATGTCGTGGTTTGTCGAGCAGCGCAGCTCGCTCAAAGTCGATTAACAAGACATTGTCAGTTCGTGGATCATATAAAATGTTGGCCGCTCGTATATCCTTGTGGATCACGCCTCTTCGATGCAGAGTGGTCAACGATGTCCGTGTCTTGGCCTCAAGCTGCATCATCCCGTCATTACCAAGCTGGACTTTGTCGACGCAGTGACCGCCCCATGACATGAATGCCATGTATACTACATACACCCGGTGTGCATAATAGTACGTTTTGCGCATCGACCTTAGATCAATTTCACCTAGGAAAACTGGCATATTCTCACCCTGGTATGCCCTGCACCGTTTATACACTGCAGCTTCGTGTTGAAGGTCTGGGATGAAAGCCCGTACCGTGCCTTTGCTGACAAAAGTGTAGCCATACTTTAGCAGGGTCACCTGGAAAAGTACCCCACGCGCTCCACCCATCCCCAGCGGGACGATGCCGTCGTCAAGGGAGTAGACCAGCTGTTTTCTGAGATGTTCAAACCATTTCTGGTAGGATATTGGATGACGGATGCGACCATTGGGGCAGCCTTTTCCGCCAGCAGTCGCCTTATGCAGAACTGCGTTTGGGCAATCTAGGTCGAGATAACCGCCTGTCTTGAGACGGAGAAGGCATTGTTGCGTACAGTACTGCCGACCTTGGCCTTGACCACTCTCTCGGCCGCTTGATCGGAGCCGAAGCGCTATCCGTTGGCTCCGTCGAGATCCCAGCCTAGCAGTTGGCGCGCTTGGCGTGGGCGTATCTGGCGGTCCTGGCGCTGACTCGTCGTCCGATGGCTCGCGCCTGTCATCCCGCCGTAAAATGCTGTCGCTGACCTCAACTGCAGCGGTTCGCCTAGTTCGCCTTCGGGGAACGGATGGTGTCCGATCAACGTTTTTGTAAGTAGTAGGTCGGTACTCAGATGAGTCGTCCGGCGACACCGTTCGCTCGTCTTTGGGAATGGAGCGTAAGGTGCTTTCGAAATCTACAGTCCATGTCTTCAAACCCTCCATGGCCTTGCCACGTTCCTCCTGGCCATGTCCACGGCGTTCCCCAGGCGAACCCAGTGCCATGAGTGTGAAGGCTAGATACTGGGCGACGGCTGTGCAGAGGTGAGCGTTTTCCGGATGTGCCAGAACCTCCGGGACAGGCTCAGCAAGGTGATATTGAAGTCTTTGGGGACATTTCCAGTCAATCTTGAAGAATATAAAGGCTTCGCCAGTGGTCAAAACCCCATGCTCAAGGCCGCTTTCGATCATGTAATGATACGTCTGCGTTACGGCGGCTGCCGTCAGCTTTTCCGCGTTGTATTGGAATCGCTCCTTTGTATCCGCTGGCTTCGGGATCGTCTTTCGGTTAACCACCTCTTTGTAGATGTTCATGGGGCGAAGGCCGACGCGAAGTAGCGGAAGAGACAGCTTGTGGGGTGGCTTATACTCTTCGACGTGCAGCATGCGGCGCCACTCCGGTAGATCATCGTCGGATCGATATATGCAAATCTGATCGGGTCGTAGTAGGCCTAGGTCTCGTCGGTGGTCGGGCGTCTGTGGCAGCGCCGGCGGTCCCTCTCTCTCGACAACCTCCTCAGCCACGTCACTGATCGCATGAGGATGGTTCTCGAAGACGATGCCGTTGCCAAGGTCAAAGACACTCCTGACATCATTGACCTGCTTGAGCTCCTCTACGATGGCTCGGACTGGATCCTCGACGGCCTCGTGCAGGAACCTTTCCAGCATCTTTTCATCTGCTATCGGCCGGCGGGCAATCCTTTCCCCTAAACCAATGAGAAAAGCTCGATTCTCGAAGAGACGTCGCTCGGTGGGAAATGTGGCGAAGAGGGCTCCGAAAACATCCTTCTGTTCGTCAAGGAAGTCGGCCCACGGTGCCAGCTCGTTGGGGCACCATTTATCGCGCGGGTTGGTGATGGAGCCCTTTGACGTTAGGTTGGGGTTCATTTCGACAGTTAGTTTCGCGTACGCGAGGACGTGTGAGTCTCCCAAGTATTCGACGAGCGTCAATCGTTGCGTTTCTCTCTCCGACGCTTCAGCACGCTGTCGTTCTTCTTCGGCACGTTGTCGTTCTTCTTCGATCCGCTGCTCCGCTTCCTCTTGTTGTTTTTCGGCGCGTCGTCGCTCTTCTTCGATCCGCCGCTCCGCTTCTTGTTGCTGAGCGTGAGCAAGCTCCAACAGCCTTTCCAGCTCTTCAATCCTCCCGAGGGCATCCATCTTGAGCTCTGCGTGCTATTTCAACCAAGCGGCTTTTGTGTACATGAACAAGTCATTTAGTACGAAGAAGCCGCCCTTTCCCCTCTTTGGGTCTGTTGCCGGGGTTACAGTGTGGAATACCGGATAAATTGCGGGCCATCAGCACAATATCTCGACGGCGGCCACATCTGCATCCGGATGCGGATAGACTTGCCTAAGGCCACAGGCTAGGTCGCTGTCGACATTCGTCGCCATGACGGTCGTAGTAAGGTCGTGAGGGTCCTTAGGAGCTTGCGGATCTGCTGGGCAGCGTGCGCTCGCACAGCGTAGGTGATTGTAGACGCAGGTGTAATCCAGTGCCTTCCCAGGCTGCCTGCAGTGCAGGCTCACGAGTAGGCAGCCTCACTGGTCGTTGCATCTTATTGTCGGTGGTGGTTCCGAGCTCGGGAGCACAAAACGCGCATTTTTCCATCTCTGTTAAGGCAAAGATGGGTCGTAGCCGAGATTTACGTGCGTTCTTGGTTGCACGACAGGCGGTCGGACCCCGGCCCTAACAGCCGACTAACAGCTAGTGTCAAGGAAAAACAAATGAGGGGAAGGTGCTGACTGCTCTGTCGGCAAGCTGACATGTTTGCAAAGCGGCTACCCCTCTCCATCAAGCAGGTCTTATGATGATGACACGCATCCGAGAGGTTTTATTCAATCCAGCTGTTGATAATTTTCGGGGATGCATCATGGCTGCGTCGGCTGGAGCTCGTCTTCTGGAGTCCGTTTCCAGAAGCGATTTTGTGCAAGATACTCTGGAAATCGTGTCCTGGTACCCATTCCGCACGACGTGCCCCACCGATTCGCGGTGCACGGTACCTCAGGGGAACCTGAAAACGCAGAGATGTTAGGATATAGCCCCACCATAGACCATCAATATCGCAGAGGGCAGCTCCCCATAACTCCCAGCAAGTATAGGGGGCTTGTGCCCTAAAACTGAACCTCAGCGCTGGAAAGGTTCCGTACAGTCACCCATTCGAACGCGGTCGCGATCAATATCGAAACACGACAATCCAGCGACGGCAACCATCACGGCGACAATAGCCCATCTCCAACGCCAAACCTACCCGATCATCCGGTCCTCTTTCCTGGCTTGCTGATCCAGGCTTAGAAATTTATAAGATTCTCAGTAAGAACCACATTGTGATAGATTCGTGACGGGAAACCACACGAACTCAGATGAGCCAGACCGTACATTCTTGAATTGAAACCTCCCCGCAGCTTCAGCTACGTAACTTCCCAATAGCTAGTGACCATTCTTATGAGCAGCTAAGTCATCCGCGATGTTATGCGGCTGACAGTTCTTCAGAAAGCCGCTTACCGAACTCACCCGTGAGCGCTAGGAGCTGAAGCTCCCAGAAGTTGCTCCTTAGATCTATCGACGTGTACCTCTGGTCTTTTGGAGATTATTATAATAGAAAACCAGCTTCACATACCAAAAGTAAACTTGCAGTCTGATGTTTTTTGTTAACCTACGGGCGCAACCTGAAAACCACGAAATGCAGAAACATGTTTCTGCAAGAAGTAGCTGCAGCTTTCTCAGAAAACGGAAAGCCTGGTTATAGCGAATAAGTAGATGCAGCGGGTACCACCTAGCGTGCCAACACTGGGACTGTACATAAATTCATACGGACACATATCCCCCACAGCCAAACCAAGGCAGAGTATGCAAACTAAAATAACTCCACATGTTGAGGATTTCAAGCATGTTCTAATTGGACATGTACGACTCTGCAATTTCGCTCAAGAATACGCCGTCAGTTCCCTATTGACAACGTCTCAAATCCGAAACATGAATTGTGGCTACGCCTTCTGAAGTCTGTTTTTTGAAGCCTTTTCCATAAAATTCATCCTTAAAGCTGTCTTGGAATATTCGCTACTGAGGGGCGACTACAAGAACGATTTTCTGTTTTCAGATTACCCCCACATTTTACCTTTTCTAGTTTCTACAGAGCCTCAGTTCTCGGCGCTTACCAGCCAGTTTGGCATACAAGACAGCGAAATATTATCACATGAACTCGGTAGTCAGTTTTCTGCATCGCGTCTCTGGTTGCATTCTATGGAACTACAATCCAGACTATGGTATTTGCCTTGGGTGTGACCTCACGCGTCCATTTTTTGTTCGCGAATTACTAGTTCCTGTCTCCAGTGTTCAGGCAGGTTAACTCCTGCCAGAACCCGAGTAAATCCGTCTTGAAATCAATTTGGCGCCAAAACCAAAAGTGACTCGTGTTCACTAGCGCCTTTGTTCTAGTCGTGTGTTGGCGTCTAATATTAACCTAAGCGCTTACGAAGAGCTGACTTCAGTCTTACAGATAAGCTTTTTTCACCCCAGCTACTGATGATCTTCAGAGGTTAAAGGTGCGTCATAGCTACACCGGCTGGAGTACGTCTTTAGGGTCTTTAGGGAGAAGAGGTTTTGTGCAAGACACATTATGCCCAATAGATGTGCGAGGTGCGGTACCTCGGCATCTGTAAATGCAGAGATGGATTGCTCCACTATAGCCATCAATATTACAGAGGGCAACCCCCCATAACGCCCAGCAAGCGTAGATGCTTATGGCCTAAAACTCAATCTCAAGCTCGACCGTGTGTTGTACGGTCACCCATTCGAACGTAGTCGCCCGATCATCGAATATCATTTTTGAACGAGAGTCTGACTTCTCTGCATGTCACGGTGTGATTAATTGCTGAACTTTTCCTATGGGGGCTAGGTAGAAAGATGGTGCGCGAAGTAGCTAAATAATTACAAATGCTCCAACAACAAATGTCTTGTGAAACGCGTGACTTGTGAAAACTCTTTGGCCTTACGGCATAACGGACAATGGAGTGATCCTTGCGGGGTTTTAAAGTCGTGTGGAAGCGGCCTAATCCCTGGGTTTGGGGACTTGTCGGCAAGCTGATCCATGAGACGTTGCGGGAGGTTCTTTGGCCACTCAAAAAGACCCAATTGCGCCCCATACTCGCTTGTATGTATGTC